AATTTCTGTTTTTCCAAGGTTAATAGTTAGCATGAAACATAATATTACTTGAAATTGAATATTAATCAAGCGGCAGCACATCTTTTGGCGACGAATACTGATAACATAATAACTTATTTTCATGTCATATTATTTATTTAGCTGTGGCGGACGCTATACTGTATAATTTCGAATTTTGCCTATACATTTTTTTTTTCTCTTTTGGATATTCGCCAAGACCGGTGGTATTTCTCTTCAAGGTAAGCCGAGAGAAAAAGAAACCGGATTCGTCGCGTCCGACATTGAACGAACCTCACGTGTGAACAACCAAGTACGGCCAATACGTTTGCTCATATACCGCGTACAAATCGGTTTCCAACACAAAACTATTGAGCCATATGATTTGTAGCTGTGGAACAAAATCGTTATACAACTCAAATTTACATATCTCGCGAGATTATATCTGAGATTTTCCAACGGAATTATTACCATTGGTCCAGCTCAATAATTATTATCATTGTGTGTGTGCATTAGTGCAATCGTAATATTATTATGTAGACTAAACATGTTTCCGTTCAACTGTTTTGACGTTAACCAGGTCGTGAGATGAGTCGTTTTATTCAATGCGATTGTGTTTCGCAAACACCAATTTCCTTACATTCCGATAAAATAATTAAACTGACGGGCCATCTAATTCATTGCAAAACGATTGTAAACATGGAAACAACATTTGCGTTTTCTTGAAAGTTAGCTTTTCAACAAATATATAATAAGCAGTTTATAAAATTGGTTGTCCGTAATCGATGTCCTTCAATTTTTATTTAAGTTTCAAAATAAATAGATATCCAATAACAATCAAAAGGAATCACGGATGGATTGCGTTTCAAACCGTACTAAGTAACTATCGAATGGCACGTGCTTTCCATTTACATAATAATTTATACTGAAATATCCAAACGTCATTCAGCTGCATCAAAGGAGGATGCATTATGGATAAATTGTTCGTATAGCACTGTCATGCGTATAAAGTGTATTAGATAATAGTTTATATTCGACTACGCGTCTAAAAATTGTAGTCCTAATTCTGTTTAGCCATAAATAAAGCATTTTTATTCGTTCATAACAAAGTAGCTCGCAAAGAAATTAACGACAGACTGAGTTAGTTCAGTCTGTCGTTAGCGCTGAAGATGACAACAATTATTGTTGCCGAAATACGTACACGCAGAGAGTGTATTATTTTATGGTTAAGGGTTTTAAATATGAATTTCTTTATTACAACCATAAGTTGCTCAAGTTTTTTCTAAAGTACCTCGGTTTAAAACCCGTTCGTATTGTTGTGAAGTTGGGACAGTAAAATTTAGCCAAACAGAATGTAAATTGACGACATTTTAGAACAATGTGTGGAGACAATTTAGCGGATCAGTTTTCGACAAAACAGCGGGAAGATAACATCTGGTACTATTCAACGGGAAGATGCCGTGTTTAACCAAAGAAAATTCAATGCGAACCGCAGAGTCCTAACGGTTGGAGCGTATTATGAGATGTGAATAACTTGTTAATCTTTTATAAAGCGTCCATTGGACGGAATTCATAAAGGAATGTCCGTTTTCCGGTTCAGCGTGTTGTACAAATCGTCGCCGATTTAAGACAAAACAAGGTGACCGTTTTGTGTTGGCAATTGGTGTAGTGAGCATATAATCTATTAAGACGTCCCGAGCAGTTACTTAACCGGCGCGACGGTTCAACATGGGAGCGGAAAATATTTGATCGTGTATCAATAAGTAAAGAATTCAAAACAAAAAAAACCCAAACGTGGCCCGTCCTCGCCATTTGATAACGGCGCGTTGTGTCAGTATAGAAATTGCATTTGTGGCGCCTAACCGACGACTGATGTCCAATATCGGGCGAGACACATTAATGCGTTTTCGATCAGACGGGTGTCGCCGATGTGTACCCTGATCACTTACTACAGTGCGCACACACACCGTCTCAAACGACGCGATACCCAGCTGGAACAACGAGAAAATAAACGACTTCCATTCCAACGGTCGACCTAGTCTCGAGAAAAAGATGAAAGTTTAACGAGGAAAAACCTCCGCCCTTTTTTGATATCCGTTACAATATCCATTACGACAAAAAATGGTTGGACTCACCCGAGTGCTTTTCAGATTTACACTGAATTATTCTCTCGGATAATAGACATACTATCTACGGATCTATGTCTGTCCAACTGAACAATGATGACCGGGATCCCATAAATAATTAGGTTTCCGCCAAATTAAGCACTAACAGTGTCTTAGCTCAATCATCACAATAACGCGTTGGAAAACAAATGTTTCCTTTTTCAAATTGCCGATAGAAGTGTCAAGTGGGAAAGCTTTTAGTATAGGTATTATGCAAACATAATAGTTTTGAAAATTACATTTCCCATATAGTAACTTGTTTGCGATAAAAATGCGACCGGCCAGTCGTGATGCTGTTGCAATAATATTGGCAATTCAACTGAACTATAGAATAATATTATGACCATTATTAATATAGCTGACGCCTAACTGAACAAGCGGTTTTCATATCGGTTAACTATCACCGTAATCTATGATTTGTACAATCTTCTTTTTTAAATTCATGGTTCAGTGTATAAAACAGTTATGTTAATAACGTAGTAAGTTTATGTGTACATGAAGTATCACAAATGCATACTTTTGTATCACATCAGGCTAACCATGTCCATTTAATAGTTGTGATTACTTTTAATTCAGCGTTTGCTAATTTGTGTGTTATGTTTGTTACAGGTAAGTTTCTGATTTGAATGTCAACATTAAACGCTCAAGGTAGCCAGGTGACTCGGGTAGGCAATTCACAATAATACATACATATCATCTATGAACTCGGATGCAGAGTATATAGTGTACAACTATCGTTTGAGGAACAATGGGTAGAAAATGAGTTTTTACTAAAAATATATCCCCGTTAACAGAGACGTTAAGTGCGTTAAAAAAAAAAAATTAATTTAAGTTTATCTAAAATTTCATTTAAAATTTGCACTGGAAAGTCAACATTTAACTTAATTAAACTAACTTATTTAAAGTATTGTCTTATATATGTGTTACTACAGTAACGCATAAATAAGACGAAACGTTTTATTGTACATGGTAAATACCATTTCAAACCTTGATTAAAAAAAAAATATACATTTTTAGTCGTATTGTAATATTAATATCATATTTTATCGATTCATAGTATTAAAAACACAATTATAAGACTAATACCTCTTTATATTTACGTCAAAGTTAAATGTTAAATGCTATTAAAAAAAAAATCGGTTATATTGAAAATTTCAAATTAATTTAACTTTTATTTAACAACTTTACATTACTGTGTTAGTCTAACCTTGTGTCTATTGAACCTTCATATTGTTGTTTAAATTAATTTTTAACATTTATATTCTACATAATATATTAAGTTGGCGATAATTAAATACGGAATTTGGTAACCAGACCATAATACAGCAAGGACCAATAAAAACCGTAACAACTTTTCAAACCGAAGATATTACATACTGGATAATTCAAAACATGTGAATATATTTGTACAGTCATAATTATTTACACTTGAAAATGGTTTAGCGGTGCCAACGCTGTCTGGCTTCGGTTGGAGAATCATCTAAACATTATGCCCTCCCCCCTTGCTCTCTCTCTTTCACACTTACCGATACCTAATTGAAATCAGACTCTCCTATGAGTAATTCGACGAATCATCACTATACTTATAGTTATGTTATGGATTATTTATGAGGACAGGCTAGATGCTTCGAACGCCATATCTATAGAATCTATTTCCTTAAAAGCTCCAAAGTAACTTGTACAGTAAATTATTATTTTCCATTAAATTGACTTCTGCGATATCTGTACTCTACTCTAAGTTTTTGTCGAAAATGAAATCGACTTATCGGTTAAAATATTTCAGTCGCGCACAGACTGTAATCAGATTTCAAAATTGTACCGCAAACAGCCAAGTAAAAAAATATTTCAATTGCTTTGAATGACGTCTTGGATTGAGAGATCCGTTTGTAATTTAATTTTCAACGCTTTGTGTACACATTAATACACCTGTTTGACTGACGTTTATATTATAACCGCTTTAGGCCTTCAATGTTTGTTGTTTACCAGTTCCAAATCTCTTTTGAACTTCTTGAGCCACAATCATGCGTTGCCGTCTGTCTAATTAAAATGGCTTGGCAGAATAAAAAATGATCCCTTAACGCTTTATTGAGAATATGACTATCTCGCAAATAATTTCATTACGTTCAATTCGAAGTTTAGATACCGTCGCGTTTGATTTAAGTTTGTTTTATCCAAGTATGAGGTGTTCATAAACAATCAATCCCAACCATCCCGTTTACAATGTTCAATAAACAATTTGAACCTAGTCCTAATAGTCAAATTCAACAACGTGTAACCAGTAAAAATATAAGTGCGTCCTTGAAGTTGTTTTTTTTAACACAACCGATCGTTAGACGATTATAATACACGCAGTCGTGAACTTAAAAACCGTTATACCACATAATGTTATCTGCCGACCTTATCATGCTCGCTCAACACTTTTGTGTTATCTTATAGCACGAGCTTTGTTTTGCGCACTTAGGTAATTTAATCTCTTCGGCTCTAATCTAATTAAAAGTCGACGGGTATTTTATTTTATATTTTCCTTTTTATCTATGCATCCATGGTTTATGCGTCTATTACTCAAAAATGTTCTAAGATTTTGTTTAGAAGTCAATTATCGACACATGCGAATGGAGAAAAGTACAATTGCTGATGACCTCCCCAAGAGAATACCGTATTGGTTTTCAGACAAACCGAGTGAAAGCCAACGCCGCTGAGCAAGAGAAATTTCAGTCGTTTTTTAAAAACGAAAATATCGCAAATAACTAATCGCGTTTTGTTAGATCATAGCCGAGCCAATGGAACCAATCAAATGACCCCCGTAGCTCGGTTAAAATTTATAAATTTATATATTTTATTATATTATATAATAACTTTAAACATAATATTATAACAACATAAGGCGTACGGTAAAAAATAATATCTTATAATAATAATAATATTAATATGAATGGCCCCTCCTGTTCGTGGTGGTGTCCTGCATCCGACGTGGGTGTGTCCACTGTGGAAACTGTACTGACTTAATTTTATTTGTTGGTTGACGCAGATTTACCCCGTGTCGGCTTGGGTTCATTAAGCACCCTGTGTGTGGCGACGCATGTTTTCAGATACCCCTGGTGGTCAGCGACTTTCTGGCGCCAGGCCTCTGAAATAAAAAATAAAAATTAGTTTATCTCGGCCGTTTTTTTGTCGTTAACTCTTCTTACCGTGTAGCTCAAGCATGGAAGGACATTCGCCACCGTATTCCTTGGGCAAGTATTTCAACGGCACGTTCTCCAGCAGAGATTCAAAATTGCGGTGCACGATGATCTGCACACATTTATACATACATATTAAAACAAATTAATATTTATGACAAATACCGTCGGTGATAACTTACCCGGTTTCGGATTTTGGCCTTTAGCAGTGGTTTGAAAAGTGCAAGCGCCACGCTCAGGATGCCTGGCGGGTTGATGATGTTAATTTGCGCCACTCGCTCAGGATACGCTCTCTATGTACGCCAAACGTTAACGGTTTAATATTATACTGTAAAGTGATTTTAAGATGTAAAAATCTTACCCAAGCGTACAGGAAAAATCGACGCAACAACCCCAACGGGTATTTGGTCAGGTGGCCCATTCGCAACGAGCTCAGGTCGACCACTAACACTAATTTGGTATGGTCGAATCCCAAACACAGATACAAGTCGGCCATACAAGTCAAGTGCATGGCCAGACCGATGGGGTTGTAGTCGGCTGCCGGCGTGTCGGGTCGGTGCATGAAGCAACCGACTTTGTAACCGCCTTCCATTTGCGGGGGCATAATGGCTAGAGTCCTGCGCAAGCACACCTATTATAAAACCATCTCGTTGGGTATACCACCTTCAATTGCACTACTCACGTGGTGTTGTAAGCTTGGATCATTTCTTTTCTAGTAAACGGATCGCGGTCGGACACCATTATTTCCGGTAGGATGGTCTTGAGACGGAAATACAGCGGTAGACTTTCTTTGACCCTATCCAATTGATTCTTATTCATGATCAGATAATTCTCCAACCACCAATCCATGTCAACTATGTGTGTAAAAAGGTTTGTTTTTTAATTAAAAAACCAAACGACGACAAGCGTCCTTGAGGCTTATAGGGTCGGGTCGAAGGTCATCGTTGAGTTGTTGTTGTTATTATAATAATATTGAATATTGTGCTCACCTCCTTCCATCTTGTCCGGCAAGTCCGGTTGTTCTTTCATCCACTCGGTCAGCTCGTGGACGTCCCGTCTGATCGACTCTTCAGTCATGCCCAACAATCGCCTGGTGACCGCCATGTCTTCGGGCAACGGGCCCTCCGGTCGTTTGTAATAGCGGTCTAACATCCTGGAAAATCAATTGACTATTAGGTGTCATGTCTAAAGAAACCCACACCCGGACCTAAACTCTCGAGCGTGTCGTGTGTTATGCTAAAAAAATACAGAAACGGTTCCTCTCCCAGCTGGTGTCGATTTCAAAACGCCCGAAGCGCATAGGGGAAATTTGAAGGGAGGTTAAGTGTGTTTAGCACCCCCCCCCCCAACCTGTTCGTTTTTTCGTGCCGTAGTATTATTGTCAGGGACCTCAGTTCTTGATCGCCCTTAGTCTTTTTCTTAGCGAAATGTGCATCACTGACAGAGACTGTTAACAATTATTAGTTCTTCCGGGAAATGCGTTATCTAACCTTCGTCAGTCGTTATCACTGCAGAATTGTTATGGAAAAAGCGGTGGCGGCGGCGGCGACCGGTCGACAAAGTCCACTTTCTCTTCGGGGGACGACCGTGGATTCGGTGTTACGAAACACACGCTTGTCGGTCAAACGAGCTGGCTCGATCTATTCGCCCCATAACCCCCCCCCCCTCCCCCTCGCGCCCTAACACCGCGACGCAATAATACCTTGCGCGTTACCTTATAACTAGTATTTGCATGTAGAAAATATAATAATATTGTATTATAATACACAAATCGAGCGTATCGCTCAACTCTTAACAAGTGGTCGACCCAGTATGCGTTATTGCATACAGAGGTGTGTTGACCCACAGTGTTGTGAATATAGCAGCTAGTCTCAGCTAGCTCGACCTCTGGTTGATCCTAATAGCGACAAACGTCGCACCTAATCTTTAAAATAGATGTCCACAACAGAACAAATATATTATTTAAAGCGATCGCAAATAAATCGCAATATTAAGTTAATTTGATCACTTATTACATTAATCTACAATTTTTCCGGGAGCTCTAAACGATAGATGTCATCTATTAAAAATATGCATTTAATTGTGCCAACTGATTTACGAATAGAAACACCGAGTAAACGCTCAAATGTTAGATTGGGACGAGAACAGGAGATTGCATTCAGACGTAAACAATGACGATGCCGGTTAACCTTTTTTAACGGTAGCCGGTAACGCTGATGGTAAAGGCTTAATGGCAAATTAAAAAAAAATACGATAATGACCGCAAACTTACTGCTACGGTTTCCGGGGGCATAATAATAATATTGTGGTTCTGGGTTGAACCGCTATAATATTATGTGGTCTTATCCTCTATATGTGTGTGTGTGTGTTTTATCTTCGGTAATGATTAATATTATGGTACGTGGTAGAAATTTCGCCGAAGGGGTTAATTATTATTAATAGTCTATCGTCTCGTGACGGAGAAGATCGTGAGTGGTTAAACCGGCACATGGTATTTATAATATCACAATAATTTGGTTAATAATTTCATATCGACTGGGCGTTGCCGAAAACGCATAGACCAAATCTGTAGAAACCACAGAGACGAAAAAACTAGCATATTAAACGAGTAATCGCGGAAACGCATGCGGTGTTTGCGCCAAAATTGTGTTAAACTACTGTTATTGCTATTGTTATTATTATTATTATTATTATTATTATAACTATTACTGTCGGTTTGTCGTACTCACTTGGCACAGCTGCTCGTGTGGTCACTGCTTGTAATATGGTCGGCTACTGATATGCTAGCGTGCAAATAGAATACTACACGGTGGCTTTGAGTTTTATTCTCATAGTTTACTGCAAAACCAAGGCGTTTTACAACCTCAAAAAACTGGATATTACAAAATATATATATATATATATATATATGTATATTCGCATTCAGTTATATTATGTACACAGTGCAGATATGTATATAGTATACATGTATTTTGTATAAAAAAAACGTGATCGGACAATGCCAAGAGGGGAAGTAGGACGGTGACGGCGACACGCGTAGGAGGGGAATACCGGATCGAGCAGATTTCTATATTGTGTATTTTATACGGCGACTAAAAAAAAAAAAAATTAATAAAATAAATAAATTAACAACCGTAGATGCAAACGCATATCGAGTTTGTGTTGTGATAATATTACACATACAAATCTTTATTGCCTAGCCTAGAAGATGAACTGTCACATTTGATATGCTCGTTTTGCTTCAGAAAACCAGTCGAGGTTCGCGTTTAAAAGGTCAGGGACCTAAATCGCGGTTTATAATATATTCTATCGCGCCATATCTCACACATTAAAAACCGTTTTCGGTAAAGGGATTGACTTTAAGTCCTCCGGGAATTAATTCATACGGGGGCAATTGCTACAAAGTTCCCTACGACAGTTGGCCGAGTACCGAGTCTAACCGGCTTATCCAAAAAGAGGAGTTTTCCCCTAGATAGACTACTCAGGGGCTAGTTTTAAAAAAGGTTTCTTTTCGGATCAAAAGCATAATATAAAGATGAAGTCGCACAGTGGGCGGTGTACTAGTTCAAACTTCAAAGCGGGTTTGTTGACATAACGCCGCCGTGTGAAAAATACTGTATTACTATATATTTGCCTGGTGGGTAGATACTATATCAGTATAATATTTACCTAGTAAAATAAATAACGGGTAGCTATCATATGGCGGTAGCGCTACCAGTTATCGACGACTTATCAAAAATACTGGATTGGACGTGTTTATACACCGTTTTACCGTTTAGTGGGGAAATACACATTGAACAAGTCTCGTCACTGCGTTATAACAGATATAATATGCTAATAAATGCTAATGTGTTAAATCAGCCAATTACGGAGAAACGTAGGATGTGGTTAATGAAACATCTAAAAGACTGTATATCAAAGCAAACGGGATGATGGTATTATAGATTGTACAGAGTATCTCATAGATACTCAAACTGGATAGAAGACCATTCCTAAATTATTATTAGCAATAACAATGATATTTTCTCTCACGTGGCGCCGTTTATTAATGATTAAGATGTTTTTTTATCAACTTATTTGTAATTCATTGAAACAGAGTTCATAAAATAATAATAATGAAACAAAAAACTTGTTTTTAAAAACGTATTACAAATAGAAATTATTGGAACTTTGACTGATCTATGCTTTTTGTTTTATCTTAGGCTGTATAATATAAACAAAGATAAACTTGTGATGAGTATTACTATCATTTATGTTATCGATACAAATAAAAAAAAATTAGACTTTGAAATAGATAAGATAAAATGTGTACATCATGACAAATTTTGAACTTTAGTAGCCAAAATCTTATAAGATTATGAGTGTAGTGCTGAATAATTATTGAATTTCCTACTAGAGGCGACCAAAAGGCTTATAAAAATAAATCAGTTATTTTGTATTATCTACTGAGTAACTTGTGAACTACGCATATTGTTCTAATTTATTGTATTCAACGCGAATTAACTAAATTATATTGGTAAATTAAATTGGCCTTGGCCGTAAATTAATGTTTTGACACGACCTTATGCTAAACAAAATATAGTATTTATTTAACTGTTAGGAGTTCTAAACTATACACAGATATGTGTACGTCCCAATCCCCTGTGAACGGAGAACCGTAAAAAAGAAAATGGCGAATAAAAACAAATTAGTTAATTAAAAAAATACATACTTTGGTGTACTGATATAACGAGCGAATCGCGGTCGTGGTAACCGGTAACTGGTAACGCGAAGGAACCGACTGATGGCGGCTGCCGCGCTTAGGATTTTCAGTGCCTAAAATGTTATTGTTAACGTACGATGACACGCGTTCGTGTATTTTTTAAACATATTCAAAACATACCTTGTAGACTGTTTGTTTTACAAAACACTCGAACAATGAACCGGTCGTCGTTCCGCGTACAACCTCCACATGTATGACGTATATAGGTAGGTATGTGTGTGAGAGAATCGCTATTGTTGTTATTCAATCGGATATGATGATAATATTATTTTCGATGTCGGTGTTGATCGAAATTGATGGAAAAATTGACCGAAAAGCGCGCTGCCAGCGTTGGCGTAAGACTGGCAAACGGTAATGACAATTTGTCGACCGACTGTATATAGTGAAAATAAAATAATATGTTGTGGCTTTAGTCATCCGTGTACGGTGGAATTAATTACTGATAATCGAATAACAATTTCCCCTTGGCCTTTCAATAGGTTCTATTCGGTATAATAAATAAACATCCATATTGTATGCAAACGTTTGACAAACAATATAACGAATCGGCCAATAGGTTCGTAAACGGTCGCGTTGCCGCCATGACGCCGCAAGTCGGTTCGGCTCGCGTGGGGTCGCCACCTTGATCGCATTTAAAGTCCTAAGATTTTTTTTTTAAAAAAATGTACAATTATTTTTTAATATCACTTTTTTCATATTTTATATTAATATTGTCGCCGTCCGTAAAAGTAGAATACCGGCGACAATCATGTAGATTGTAAATTTACAATAACCGTCGACGTCGCAGCCAAATCGAGAAAAAACCCTACACATGAATGCGTTTTTCATCTGCAAAATATATTTTTAAAATATCTTCGAATTACTTTCAAACGGCAACCGTCTATGCAACAAAAATCCAAGAAAATAGCATTTCTAGTAGTCATTTCACCCGGAAGAGGTAGAAACTTTTTCTTTACATCGCTTTTTCAGGTCTAGTCTCAGGACGTCAAATCTGAAAATTAGACTTAATTCACATCTAGTGGGGCCCAATAACAAGAACAAATTTGTAGACAAATCTTTTTTAATATAAAATATTAATAAACATAAGATTACAAATTGAATTGTGTTACCTGTTGTGATATACCTATTTTGATTTTTGTTGATATTTATTTTCTCGTCATACAGGGTGATGAATTTAACGCGGGAAGTAGTAATTTTGTAGTTATTATTATTTTATTTCAGATTACTTTTGTTAATTTTTTACAATATCATAACTTCTACAATCGACTAGTCGACATTTTAGTAGATTATACTCAACTTGAGAAATTTATGAAAGACATACTTCACCACATTTTTAAAAAAGTTCAAAAACTGTAATTACGCTAAGGATAGAGGAAAACTAAAAAAATCACATAACACGTCATAACCAAATTAATTATCAGTATGAAATGATTATATACTTATAATTAATAATTTGTATTACCTACAGCTTCGCATTGAAGCGTTTATATGAAAACATTTACATTTTATCACTTTTAATCATAATAATACTTGAACACTTCATACCAAAAAAGATGCCTGTGTAATATTTTATCGTTTTTGTGACGCATGATTACACTAGAGCCGAAGTCATTGCGACCAATGTGTGTCTCTTAAATTATTATTATTTTTAAACAGTCCAGAAAATTACTAAACTACTATAATAATGCGCGGAGAGGGGAAACGAGTCATCACATTGTCCTAGTTTACACCATTTCGTCTATTGGATATTGCTTATTCCCCCCCCCCGCTCCCACTTATGTCTAATATAATTGTCACACCTACAAAAATTCAGTGTCTCTACCGCAAGTTCTATTTATCTAGTTCATAAAATTCGTATTTGTCGTATCATTTACTTCTGTTACATGTATTCGTCACTGCTTGTACAATTATACCGAACTTAAATCTGGGAGGATTTTGAATACTTATCCGGAATTGGATCAAATTACCGGGTAAGAATATTAATTATTAATATTGCGCTGAACGTTTACGCAAGATTATAAAAAAGATCATTAAAAACACAACATATTATTATACTGAACTATTAAATTGTGCTGTACAGGAAATGTATGCAACCACTCGTTAGACGGTCTTGTACCGCACGACCAGACCCGTCGGTGCAGGGTGAGGCTTTATGACAGTTGCATTTGTTTGCTTTATTTTAATCAAAAGAAAGTCGTCTGAAATTATAAATATCAAAACTAGTTACCAGCGGAGATGACCGTGTGTGAAACATAGAGAGAATAATATAATTTTTATTAAACGTTACACAACGAAGCGGGAAAGTTGTTACCGCCGTTAAAAATCGAATAGTATTATGTATTATTTCCTAATTAATTGAATAATTAAAAACACTAGAACTCTGATGACAAATCGTTTGTAAATTATAAATTTCTTCACTTACAGAGTTTCAGGGCAATGTTTAGTCTTAGCTCCAAGATAATTTCCTTCTAATATAACTAGGTAGCTGTCGGCAACGTTTCGCTAAATTCTTATTTAAAATTATATTACATTGTATATTAACTAGTACAAAAATAAGGATCCTTAATTGTTAACAACATTTTTTAATCTGTCTTTCATGAGTGCTTTTGATTTTTTAATCGAATTGTTTTGAGCGCTGTTGTAGGTACACACATTAACTGTGAATCGAGCCAGTTAGTAATATATTTACATTGAATAATTAACAAATAAAAAACGATATGCAACTCGGATAGGTCGACCTCCGAGAAAATAATTGAATCCCAATTCCCAGAACTGCTAAATGCATAATATTTATTTAAATATCATTTGGTGTCATTGAATTAGAACGACTTCCATTTACATTTCAATATGAACCGTTCAGTTTGGCGATGAATGTAAACCATTTAACGTTTGCCACTTAAACCGACCGTTACTTTCATCTGAACAAAAGACAATGCGTTGGATATGCAAAATAATTGCATGTTTTATAAGTCAGAATATGAAGGGAAACCGGAGACTTATTGGTAAAAACTTATGACTTATTGAATATAAAAATGTGGAGGACGAGTGGCTGAGTGAATAGAGTGGCAGTGTCAATAAAAGACATCCGCAATAATAATGTGTACAAGTGCTAGGAATCAAAAATAACTAAGTGTTTTTTTTTTACAGTAGTTTTAGATAAATGAAAAAAAAAATGTGATCGAGTACTAACTAAAAAATAATTACTTTTTTATCGCTCCTATATAAAACATACTATTAGATGCTAGTTGTTTTCCGAGAACAATAATAAATAATTACAGCACGATAAAAACAAACGATCGCGTCATTATTAGGTATTTTCCTTGCTTAGAAAATAGTATAGAAATTAGTAACTCGTGTTAAAGCCAAAGGATTTAAAACCGTGTTTTACAGGGTAGGTTACCGACCTAAACAAATTTGAGGTTGCTAAAATTAATCCCGAGAGAGAACCACCCGAGCCCCCCCCCCCACCTCTTCAAGACTGTATAGTGTACCAAGCTTTTAATCAGACTGTTTAATTAACCATCGACCAGTGTGGGTTTTCATCCCTGCCGGTTAGATTGTTAACGGAGGATAAGTTTTCTCTGTTATAAATTCGCCGGACATCAATGGCGACAGTGTCGTTATACTATATAGAGCCCAACGTGAGACGATAATTATTTATACTTTTGACCTATATAGGAAATTGCCTATTCTTTTACTGTATAATTTATAATAATATTCGACTGTTTAGCAGCTATTTTCACGCGACGACGAATTTCCATCATAAATATTCAAATTTCAAACCAATCGGTGTTCATCGCACCAATAGGCTATGGTTTATTATTCATAAGTCACTGACCTCGTCGGTGCTGTACAAAATATGAGTTACCCACGCTTATTCGTATCGTTAACCCTTCAGGATGGTGACAAGCTCGGTGATAGTTGTTTTTTCAAGTGTAAACACTTGAGGGTGTGAAACTGTCTTTAACACTGATGCTGGGCAAGCAGCAATTATTATCGACTTAACCTTTGTCTTTTTTTTTCCTCCGGCGTATTTATTATCATACTGAACCGAAAATAGATTTTCCATGTCAACCGTTTGGCGCTTATTGTTCGCGTTACATGATGGGTTGAAGGCGAACTCACCCAAAAATTCTCATGCATACTAGAGTGAAAGAACCATTATGTTTGTGTTTTTTTCGTTTGGATCAATTTTGAAGTTTCAAACCGAAAATTTGAACGATTTCAGTTTCCAAGGGTAGCTGCAGTTAAATTCCGAACTCAAAAGCGCTAAACGGGTTCGTGATCGATATAACGGCTGTGGATGAGAGCTGAATCTCTTTGTTATAAACTGGCATGCAACAAGTATGGCCTTAATGTAGCAGTGATAGATCTGTATAAATATATGAAGTGGATTATACTTTGATGTTTTTTGTTTATTGGCTGAAACCAAATTAGTATTATATCAAAGCCCGAGAAGATCAAAGAAAACAAACTGATAGATTGTATGAAGTCGGCCGTTAAACGAACCCGCTTAACCGTCGCTAAAACGTAAAAGGTGCACCTCGTGGTGATTACTGATTACTCACGGCTTTTGATTATATTAGAATCTCTGTGTAGTGCAGATTAGTTCGATCTGATGTTTGCCACTGAAGATGAAATGTAGCCGGGGTACTCGTGCATGGACAAGGTTTATTAATTTTTGTCTTTTAACATCCCACGGGGTAATGTATGGTTGTGTTTATCGTTCGGTGGGTTAATACCTATTACAGAATATCCTCATAGTCCTAATTGCTCGTGTAAACGGGTCGGATAAGCGGATAATGCTATAAGAAAACGACCCTTTGTACACGATGAGCACACACAAATTTGCCTGGAGAACTGTCTGCTCGCTTGTGTTATAGATTTTCGTTAGCAAGTGCAATATTCCAAAGTCAACTGTCGCCCGAGTCTCAGTCCTATGCGATTGCGGTTTCCGCCATTCGAACAACAACAATATAATAAATGTATACCTAGCTTGAGGATGTAGGGGAACCAGGCCTAAATCCTAATCGTGTCTACTATAAGTAATTGA